GGTTTCTAATCGTGGTCTAGCATTGATCGATTCATAATTTCAATGAAATTCATACCACTGATGAACAGTGGTCAACTAAAGCGTAGCTGTTCTTTCGCTGAACATTCACTTAAGTATTCTATCCACCTCTCTGAAGTATGAATCACAATCTCCACACTATTACAGAGAGATAAAACTGTGAGGATAAATTTCAAAGTGGTTACAGAGATCAAGTTCAGAAGATATGATTAAAGGAGAAATAATGATTACATGCATGTGAAAGAGGGTAATTTGGAAAATTAAAATCTAAAAGTAGACAAAGAGAGAATGCATTTACCCCATTGTGACCGATTGCGAACTATGTCACCCAGAATCGTCAGCTATTAGTTGCGAATATAGCACCGTTCATCGTTTGGAATCAAGATTCGTATCCTCCAACTCGGTTTAAGCGCCTAACATTCGCTTTTCTTCCTCTCAATTTCATAAACAACACCCCTGCCATGAGAAGGCAGTGAGTAGGATTTCTCTGGCAGTGACTATGTAGGTGTGGGAGAGACAGTAGACTCTACCTACTCTCGGTCGTACCAGGGTATTTGGAAGCGCTGTCAATACATCGTAATTTTTAAGGCTATATCTCACAACCATAGAACAGAAAAATTTACTATCGAGCTGTAAACTCACCATGATTTAGTCGGCGGATAGATAAGATATAATGACAATAATTATAATGAATAATTTACAACTTACCGTTTGAATTTGTTTCGCTAATTCTCTAGTTGGAGCTAATACTAGAGCTTGACAACGTGGATCTGTTGTACAGATTTGTTGTAATATAGCAATACTAAATGTAGCTGTCTTTCCAGTACCTGATTGAGCTTGAGCTATTACATTACGTCCTTCAATTGATGGTATTATAGCTCTTTGTTGTATTGCAGAAGGTTTTTCAAAACCATATGCAAAAATTCCACGTAAAAGATTTTCTTTTAAATTCATACGATCAAATGAATCGCATACAGTGTTATAATGGTTATTAATATCATTATCGGACTCCATCTACATACAAAAAATTATAGATAAGAACTTGAAAAAAGTAAATGTTTACAATAAGAAACAAAAATAATGTGGTGCGAGCTACTTATAAGTAGTATATGACGTGAGTGTCAACGTAATGTCTGGCAGCAGAAGATGGGGGAAGATCAAGAAAGGAAGAGTTAGAAAACACAATGGAATTTGTATGAAACGCATGAATATTGACAATGAATTGATGTTTGGCAACAGCCCAGTTCGATATGATGGACTGATATTTTGCAAATTAACGATTTACGATATGGTTTTTCAATTTTACTGAGTAACTCTGTAATTTTCGTTAAATACTATCCGGTTGCCCCACCTGTGTTCTCGTTCACTACAATAATATATAAACAGAATAATATGAAAATGGCAACAATAATAATAGTGATTAAAAAGTATGGGGTAAGAAATGGGGTTTCAGGAGTTGCAGTCCCATCCTGTTGGTTGGATCAGTCGTCACTGACCATGGACAACGGAACAGTATGGTCGATATCACCGATGCAATAGATTATCTGAATTGTCTCTTGAAGACTTCTGCTTATTGTCCAAGATATCAATGGTTGTTATAGATTGACATGCCATTAGCTTCACAGGTTGTTTTAATCACTCCCCTTTGTTCCTGAGTGCTTGATGTAGGCAGTCAAATATCTAGATATCACCACGATATCTTTCGAATCTAGCTTTTTGAGATCATTAAAACCCCGACTTCAATAACTTGAGGTGTAGTTGGAGATTATGAAACGATATTTCTTAATCAACACTGCCAAGAGCCCTTCTAGGGATACTGCAGGTCTCAGGCCGGATAAAGGAGGAAGGTTCGGAATGGGGTTAGCGACCCCATCCCGTAGAAGACTAACTCGCTAAAAAAACGCTAACCAGAACAAATAATTCAAACTATTTAAACCCTGCCCTAATAGTTGGAAGGTCTTCATTCAGAAGAGTTATGACGTCTCATAGTGAAAGCCGAGTTTCTTCAGAAGTCATAAGGCCGATGCCTCTTCTGACAGCCGGAGTGACAATTAATACAGGTACATGGAATGTTATCACAATGTGAGAAACCGGAAGGACCATTCAAGTTGCTGTGGAAATGAAAATATACAACTTGGTGGTACTTGGAATCAGTGAAATACATTGGACGTAGGTTGAACAACAAAGACTAACTTTAGGAGAGATGCTGTCGTACTCCGTCCGTGAAGTAGAAAGTGCTCCACATACACTATTCTGGTGAGATATCTAAACACTAAGGTTGGAATAGATAACAGTAGATATGAAGGCAACGTGAGACGACATAAATTGAGAGAAAGAAACGAAAAATGTGAGCGACTCTCAAACCTTTGCGCCTTCAACAAACTGGTCATAGGCGGCACCATATTCCCACACAATAGCTTACACAAACCCACATGGGTTTCACCGGATCACACTGTACACAGAAATAAATCGACCATCGAGGATATGAGGACCAACACAGGAGCTGACATAACTTCAGATCACCACTTGGTGGTGGCCAAGATGCAGTTGAAGCCAAGCAGCATTACAAACGTCTAATGTAGCCTTTCTAGATACTGGCAAACTCATCGAATTCTAGATAGTTGACAGCAATGAGTTCCAAGCTTTTCACGATCTACTCAATGGAGAGGAAACTTCCATGAAGCAGAAGTAGGAAAGAGTCAAAAAAAAGTAATAACTACAGCTTTTCATGATGTTTTTGGGCAACAAGAACCACCATTACAAGGAATGGCTTTTTGTTGACACTCTGAATAAGATTCAAGAAAGGAAGAACAGAAAGGCAGCAATCAATATCAGCTGAACAAGATCAGAGAAAGCTATGGGACAAGCTGGATACACGGAAGCAAACAAGCAAATGAAGAGGAGCATCAGAGCTGACAAACGCAAATATGTGAGAGATCTAGCAATGACGGCGAAAAAGGCTACAAGAGAAGGAAACATGAGACAATTGTATAATATAACAAAGAAGCTCGCCGGGAAATATCGTAAACCAGAACGACCAGTGAAGAATAAGGAAAGCAAACCAAGCACAGACATTGAAGAACAACGAAACAGGCGAGTAGAGTAATTTGAAAACCTCTAGCAGAGATCAACCCTATTGAACCCACCCAACAACGAGGCAGCACCTAAATATCTCACGACTGATGATCCACCAACATCGGAAGAAATCAGCATAGTCATTAGAAAGAGAAGCAGGACCTAACAAAATATAGCTGAGGCACTGAAGGCAGGCATAACAGTAACTGCAACGATGTTTTACGCTCTGTTTAACAAGATTTGAAACGATGAACAAGTGCGGACAGACTGGAAAGAAGGACATTTCATCAAGATACCAAAAAAAAGCGATCTTAGCAAGTGTCAGAACGACGGATGTATCATACAACTATCAGTCTTTAACAGTGTTGTTAAACCGAATGAAAGATTCAGAGGGCTGGATTCCGTTGGGATCAATCGTGTACCGACCAAATCGCCCGTAAAACTACGGATCATTGTGTGACAATCTATTGAATAGAATCCATTACTCTACAATAAATTCATTGACTAGGAGAAGGCATTCAACAGCGTGGACAGGAAAATACTATGAAGGTTTTCTGAACACTATAGTGTGCCTGAGAAGATAGTCAACAACATACAGAATTTTTGTGATGGGTTAAACTGTGAAATCGTGCATGGAGGATAACACACAGACTCATTTCAAGTGAGGACTGGTATCAAACGAGGTTGCTTACTTACACTTTCTCTTTCTCCTGGTGATTAACTGGATTATGAAGACGTTAATATGTGAGGTTAAGCATGGATTAAGATGACAGCTGAGATGAAGCTGGAAAATTTGTAATTCGCAAATGATCTAGCCCCTATATCCCATAAACAACAACAAATGAAGGAGACATCCACTGTAGCAACATCCTCCGCAGTAGTAAGCCTCTTTATACACAACAGAAAAAGCAAGAACCTCCTATACAACACAACATATACTAATCAAATCACACTTGACGGAGAAGCTTTGGAAAATGTGGAAACCTTTACACACCTAGGTAGCATCATTGATAAACAAGGTGGATCTGATGAAGATATGAATGCACAAACTAGAAAAATAAGGGCAACATTCCTATAATTGAAGAACATCTGGGAATCAAATAGACCGTCAACCAACACTAGAGTCACAATTTTCCATTAGAACATCAAGGCTGTCCTACTGTATGGAGCGCAAGTTGGAGAACTATCAAAGTTATCATACAAAAGATACAGGTATTTATTACCAGTTGTCTACAATAGTCTCAAAACCATTTTTGGTTTCAGAGGTGGTATTTGAAAATGCATTTGGTATTAGATTCATGATATTTATTGGCAAAATAAGGCGAGAATCTGGTTAGGCGTTTACATTGGATATAGGGAAGGTGGGACGCTTTGCCCCAAGTTACTGGCCAAGAAAAGCTTTCAACACTTGAAATTACTTTCAAGCTATCCCCAAATTAGTGTTTGCGTTTGGAAGACTAATTAGCTGTATTTAAGCTTGGTATGTTTAGTGCATATGCTTTTGTTCCTACAATTTTAACAATCAAACAATCAGAACGAATTTCATAGTATGTTAGTCGATTATTTCCACTCTCTAAGAGAATTTTTATGGAATCAAAGATACAACAACCAGTTCTTCAGTCTTTAGGATAAATACTTTGAAAATACAGACTTATAGTCCGAACAACTGGGAGAGTAACGTTACACTTCTGTTTGACGAAATTATGTTTTGAATGAGTGAATGTAATGTAAATTGTTTTAAACTACCTTATTTTGCAAAAAGCAACACAAAATTAACGGCAGTAACCATAGCTAATCACAGGTTGGGAGAAATTACATAAGCAAAGAAAACCGAGCGAATGGAAGACATTTTGTGACTTATTCAGTCGACAGGCCAGCGCTTTTAAAACTTTTCTGAGGTGTAGGCAATACAAAGTGTATCATATCACATCAGTATTGTGGATGAAAAGGCATGCTTATTACTCGCACCAAGATTTGTACAGACGTTAATGGAGTGCTCATATCACGACTTGTAGGCGACCTTTGAGCGAAATTAAAGCGACTTTAAGGGAACTAGCCTGTTTACTAGGGTTTAAGAGATGCTATGAACCTGAGGAATTGGAATACAGTCATCAAATTAGAAGCAAAGCTTATAAATTGGATATTTCATCAGGTGAGATCAGCTCTAATGTAGAAATTCTATTGAGCTATATGCAAAAGTGAATTCCTTGATAAAATGAAAGACTTTTTATCTTGAACATGATTGTTTATCCATAAATTTAGTCTCGCCACTATCGCAATAGTGAAGATTGGTCAGAACAGAAGTTCATATTAACCTTTTTCAGATATCCCTTTGTTAAAGTTACAGATGAAAAATTCCGTTGGAGAAGAAATGCATCATTATATAGCCGATTAATTAAAGACTAAGTCTAATGTTTGATCCGTACGTCCAGTATTACCTACATTCATGCTACCATAGTTTATCATAAAATCATGGTTAGACTTTGAGCCAACAATTTTAAACAAAGTTAAGAGCAGAAATTGTATTAGATAACAACCCCAATAAGTGAAAATGTAAGCATCAAACTGACCAGAAAAACACATGTAGCAAGTAAATTTGAGAGGCGCGCTAATCTGAATATCCAATATATTTTAGATGAGCTAATATAAACTAAATGACTTCTTTGCCCTCGGTTCTTGTTCTCTCGGTACGGTTCCAGGTGTTTTTAACTGTCAAATACACAATTTATTGTTGGCAGAACAATAAATCCTCAGGGGTAAGAAAAAAGACTGAACCATCCGTTCTAACCTTCGTGAGTTTCAAAGCTTTGGTCAAAAGTTTGCTTAAACGTGCGATAACATCTAAATTTAGTCTTTATAGGATCTCAATAAAATATATTTTTTTTTCGCTGAAACGTTTTGTTTCATTTAATCAAAATCCACTATTGATTGTTCACTCGAACTATTTTTTAAACGGACACATTGATTTGTTGGTTGAACACTACAAAACCTCCGAAGTTCATAAACTTTTATTCACACCATTCAATTATCTTCTTTATCGGTCTCTGTTCGCGTTACATATAAATTAATAGAGTTGAAAAATCCCTTAAGAGCACTCTGCACTGCGTGATGTCATCTGTCTTAATTATTTTTTGATTATACTATTCCTTTCCATGCCATTAGTTCGAAACATACAAGGAAAAATTTGTTGAGCAGACTCTTTTTCTGTAGTTACCCTACAACGAACTTCCAAGTAATTACACTGTTATACCATTGAGCCGTCAGCCACCTTACACAGGAAATTATTTTGACTCAATCTAGTTTAAGGGATTTGACTCGCTAGGTTATCTATTTAACCTTGAGTAACACCTGCGTCCGGTTATCACTAGACGGTCTTGGAAAAAGAAAGAAAACCATTCCGCCGTGGGTTTGGATGGCAGGCGAGAGAGAAAGAGGACACTGATCAATTGGAACAGTGCTTGATTTATTACCGATTGGATTTTTGAAAAAGGACGCATGAGAAAATATTAACTTAGCAAGATCACAAGGTACAATGATTAAGAAACATCCAATTGTGACCAACTCATCAGCTTAGAGTGGAAAAATGGAGTATGAAGGTTTCATCTAAGTTCAAATACTTTTTTATAGACAGTAGTATGACCCCTAATCATGAAATTAACCGAAACCTCGGGATTTACAAAATAAGATAGAAACAAATATAAGTATTATTATTATTTAGCGGGCCTCGAATTGTGTACACCAATGTTCCCCAAATAAGCTTCCATTGTTTATCACCGTATCATTTTATCCCTGTTTACAAAAAGCACTTATCAAATAATTGTTTTTATTTTATGATATACTATGCATCTTTATTTAGAATATAATTTTTCCACTATTGTTGCGTCCAGTTTTTTGCCCTTTGATCCTTCGAAGCACGGTTGTCGAACTATTTGCAATTCACGATCCCAAATGTTAAATAAGAACGAAACTCCAAAGTAGAAACCAAAGTTTATTCCAAATCACAAAATCGACCAAAATATGTTATTACAAATAGACGACCAATGTCGTTCTAACAACAATAATTATAATAATTACAATTATCTTCTATTTTAAGGGTTCTTGGAGCAAAAAGCTGCAAACGAACAACCAAGAGAAACGGGAGTCCAAAATGTCCGCAAATAATAATTCAAACAAGTTTACAAGTTAAGTAAAACAAATGTACCCAAAAAACAGTGAAATTATTGATATTTATACATGAAGGTTTTGATCAGCAAAATGTCTTCGTTTCTCCTGTAACACTCCCGATCAAAAGAACCTTGGTTCTTTTCACCGACAAAAATAGATAACAACAATCCAAGTATGTGCATCACAAGCAATCAACAACAAACATTCAATACAAATTCTACACCGGCCCACAAAATCCCTCTAAGCAAAACAAGCCTTTTCTAACACTTCAATTTACGGTTCACTCTCATCCCCTAATCCACACCGGAAGAACGAGTAGGATTTACAGCAGTACGCCTACCCGCCCTCCAACGTGGATATAACCTATCAAACTAACTATGTACCTGTACCTTCGACATCAGGTCCTTGATTCCCCAATCTATCGTAGCATGACCTAACGGTAGTATATGCCTTATCCAACTGACCCACACGAACATGTACAACCCGTCGTAAAGCTGTTCGAATCCTCTTGGAGATTTACCTTCCACCTCATTGGGATGAGTCGTCAATCCACCACCCATTGGCGACTCTAGGGAACATGCACCCTATGTACATGACTGTCTGGATCACAGCTCGTATCAAGCGCGTTCCATATGACCTTTCCCAACAAATTCACTATTGATCTCGGCCAATCGCCAATAGAACCTATTGTGCACCTTCCTCATTTGTACTCTAATATTAAAAATGTGGCTGTATAATACTGTTTCTGTCAGTGATATGGTGTAAATATGCAATCAGAAACTGTCTCTTATACTTAATTTAACTGCTATAACTTTTACAGTAATTGTAAAAGCATTTGTGACAATTTGATCTAGCCTGTAAACTGGCGTGACTCTTGTAACTTAGTTATTTGAGAATAAATTATTATTATTATTGCTCCAAACAGCAGATACGATGAAGCCCGTGATGCTGACTTATCAACAGAAGTTCTTGACCCATAGATAATATGCAAGGGTGGGATCTCCGATTTTGACATTTCCTCGTCTCCCGAAGACTCTAGGTGGCATAACATAGGAACAATAATCAACTCTCCAACTCCTGGTACATAGGTTTGATCAGAATTCGTCAACGTCGACAAATCATTTGTCACATGAGTGACATCCAGGTTGTTACCATCGTCATTATGATTCCGTTCTGTCAGACAAGTAGCGTCGTTTCTGGCTACACTAGCATCCGTAGAGTGAAACTCTTCCTTTGTTGTATGAAGTTTCAGGAGCGAGCTATCTGATTGTGGAAATAGTACACAGCGTGGAAAACTAACGTTCTCAACCCTCTGAAATCCACTTAAAATCTCTAACCAGAGTTTGCCTTCCTCACTTGGAATCTCTTCGTCCCATCCTAGTCCCAATTTACTCAAACGTTGAAGTAACTGCTTCATAGGAAGTGTGAATGGTGCTAACAATCCCAAGGGGTCGTATAACGAAGCTACACCCGACAATATACCTCGCCTAGTAAGAGGGCGTTTCGGTATGCGAACCTTAAATTCAAACGCATCAACCATAGTATTCCAAAATAATCCCAATGTGCGTTCCGTAGGAAGTCTCTCAGAGTCAATCTCTTTTACGGCTTCTGCTCCCTCTTCTGGATGAATTGATTCGAGAACCTGTAAACAGTTACTTATCCACTTGGTAAGTCTGAACCCACCTTTTCTGAGTAGTAAACCAAGGGTTTTTGCAAGCTCGATTGCATCCTGCACATTATTAATTGATGTTAAATAGTCGTCGACATAGAAACTCTTATATACAACTTCCTGGACATCTTTATTTAATTCCTTTCCGAATATATCTACCGTCTTCCGAAGAGCAAAATTAGCGCAAAAGGGAGAGGACACGGCTCCAAACGGATGAACTGTCAAACAATATTCTTTAGCCTTTCGTCCTATATCACCGTCTTCCCACCATAATAGTTGTTACGTCCAGTTTTTTGCTCGTTGATCTTACG